GAGACTGAGAAAGATGGGATAAATAATGTATACTGCACTGAAACAGAGGAGGGAGAAAACTGTTTAAAAGGGATATGTGATTGGGTATTTTTGTCATGACAGGAGTCTAGAGCGAAGGCTACCTGTGGAGTGGACCTGGTGGAGGGTTTGTAAAACAATGAAAGAATTTGTCTTTTACTTTTCCAAGAGAGTAGTGTACTAGGGGGGAGGGGTGGGAGCAGAGAAAAGTGCAACAATGAATGAATGAAAATCCAAAGTCTTTGTAAATTTTTACTGACATTAATAATAAATTTTAAAAAAATAAGAATTTATCAACCTCACTCATGGACTCATTCACTACCGTTGAGTCAGAACCAAATTCATAGTTGACAAGTGGGTTTTAGGAGGCTGTGAATCACAGGAGGGAGACTGCCCCTCTTTTTTCTGGAGGGCTGCTGGTGGATTCAAACTGCTAGATAGGCACTGCCTTTCAGTGAGCAATACAATTTCCTAACCACTAGACCACCAGGGCTCCCTCATATCAACCTACTTCTATTCATTTCGAGCTACTTCTCTTCATTTACCCTAAACCTCTGTTGTACCAAACAGAACATGCTCCTGTACACATACCAAAGATAATTTTTGTGTTGCATTTAAATGATCCCTTCACCTGAAATGGTCTTTCATTCCATTTATATATCCAGAAGTCACTGATTTTGGAGGACTGTCTTTTATTGAGCCTCTTCTGATTCTCACAGACAAAAATAGTATCTCCCTAGCATAAATCCTTGTGAAACTTTATTAGTTTTCCCTGCTTGTTTTTTAGTTTCCCAATGACTAACATTTACTATCTTTATACGTTTAAGGGTAGAATCCTTATCTGATAAATCTCTATAAACTCTCAAGCACCTAACCCACTACACTTATCATAACCTTTACAGAATTTGAATTCAATAAACATTTGTTGAATGCAGAAGAAAAATTTAATTAATAAAATACCAATCCTCATGCTCACTTCTGCAGTACATATACTAAAATTGGAACAATACAGAGAAGATTAGCATGGCCCCTGTGAAAGGATGACATGCGAATTTATGAAACATTCCATATTTTTGTGACAAGGAAACTATAGAAATTGAGGTAAGAAAAAGAATACCAATTACAATAGCAAATAACAAGATCTAACAAGAGATACAAAAAACTTACACAAAGAAAATCACAACACATTACAAGAAACAAAGAGAGACCTGGAGAAATGGAAGAATATACCACGCTCACACAAAGAAATACGCAATATTGTAAAAATGACAATTCTATCAAAAGCAATCTACAGGTTCAATGCAATCCCAAGAGAGATACCAATTCCATTCTTCAAGTAGATGGAAAAACCAATTTCCAATTTTACCAGGAATGAAGAGAAACCCTGAGTAAGCAAAGAGAGAAACAAAGTAGGAGGCATCACACTCCCTGATTTCAAACCTACTAAACAACCATGGTGATCAAGATAGCATGGTACTGGTATAGCAAGAAACACATAGAAAATGGAATAGAATTGAATCCCCAGAAATTAGCTACCTGTAGTAAAATGATTTTTGACAGGAAGACAAAATCAGTTAAGTGGGGAAATGACAGTCTCTTTAACAAATAAAATATTGTTTTAAAACCATCTGCAGAAAACTTGAGCAAGACACTGTACACAAGAAGCAACACAAGGTGGGTCAGAGACCTAGAAGTAAATGGAAGGCTATAAAATTCCTCAGAGAAAAACAAGGAACAACTCTAGAATCCCTAATCCACAGTCTTCTAAGCATAATGGGAAAACCTACAACCAGGAGAGAATGAAACAGACGAATGGGACTTTCTAAGACTCAAATCCCTATGCACATAAAAAATTTTCTCCAAGGATATGGCAAGATAGGAACTCTTACACATTGTTGGTGGGATTGTAAAATAGTACAGTCACTCTGAAAGACAGTTTGGCGCGTCCTCAAAAGGCCGGCAAACAATGTATTTGAATTTTTGTAAATAACCTAGTATTTTTTAAAAAAGCTAAACATAGAAATTCCATATGACCCAGCTATTCCACTGCTTGGAATGTACCCTGAGAAAATGAGAACTGAGGAACAAACGGAGACTTGTACACCAATATTCATTGCAGTGTTTTTCACAAGAACATGGAAAAAGCCCAAATGTCCAACCACAACTGAATGGATTGAGAAATTCGGTATTTTCACACAATGGAATACTACACAGCACGCAAGAGCACCGATTTTGTAAATTACTACCTAACTTGGGAGGGACTGGAGATCATTATGTTAAGTGAACTAACTCAGTTCCATAAAGACAAATATTGTATAAGACCATTATTATAGAAAGAGTATGAGGATTCAAGGAAGGGTGGACTCAGAGGGATGAAGAGGGGCGAGGGGGTAATCACAAGGTCACAAAATTTTACAGGGGGGGGTGCATGTGAAGGAAATGGGAAAGATCTGGTGTGAAAAACAATGTATTCAAACTTTGCAAATAAACCAGTATAAAATAAATTTTTTAAAAGATGAATGTTAAAATAAAAGTTTATTTAAAAAAAAGTTCTCCTGCAACCCCTGTGGAAAGCAGTATGGCGCTTTCTCAAAAAGTTGCAAATAGAGATACCATTTGACCCAGCAATTCCACTACTGGGAATAT